GCATTCAAGCCGCCAATACGATTTTGAACACTAGTTGAATACGAGACGCATCCCTCAGAGTGGATTTTTAACGCCCAAAGACTGCGACGTTGCCTTCTAAAGTCTATCGTTGAGTACTCCTACTCCAGTGGTAAAGTGTCTTGTCTTCAAGGTGCTCTACTTCCAGAGACGAATTTCTTTTATCTCAACAAGTTGTTCAGACGATGGTCGGTCAGAATGTGAGCGTTTTTGGGATTTCTCAAACATCGCTCATCTACTTCGAATGCAATTTGGTTCTAATTCCGAAAAGTGACGGACAATGTGAGGTACCGCAATGTTCAGAGACGACTAATCGTACGAGGTAAGAGGAATCCATTGCGTTGATGCTTATCGATTCATTGATTAGTCAAATATTTGCTGTTAAGAAGAAGTTTCGAAGATCTCGAGGACCATGCCTTCGAGGTACAGTCACAAAGAATCGAAGTGTCCGAACTCGGTATCGTCTTTTGACCTTTCCTCATCTTGAGGGCCAAGTAAATCTGTGATTCAGGTATGATGCCAGACGCCAAGAGCGATATGGTCCAACCGGTAGAACTCGTCTGCCACGACAAACCCTCTTCTTCACGACGCAATCAGATTTGTGTGGCATTTAATCCGTTCATTATTTTCCTTGGTGGAATGATTGCGGTAAAATTTCGATCTAGTGGATAATCCAGGCTAATTCTGGGAGCTCGATCTTTCAGATGGCCGTCTTCGCAGCGTTCGTAGCCGTGATGATATCGTTACAACGATACCGACATTATTCCATATCCCATACGATCTGTTAGTTCTGCCATAGATGACGGCTTCCAACGGGGAGACGACCGACGACGATCTCTGGAATATTCTTGGTCATTTACGAGGACCGACATGCTTTGATCTCATCACACTTGCTCATTATGCTTTCACCAGTGCCTAGTAGTATAATTCTTTGCCATTGTTTGTATATTGTTCTTATTTAGAACACATATTTCCAGCCAAGGCAGGGCGGGTAGTGTCAGAATTAGTCGTTACTGCATTATGTCCTGGTATCCTTTCCCGATCCGTTAGACGCCTGAGTTAGCCAGGAGTTCTATCTTTCCTGGATGGGTTGGTTAGGAACCGGATCATATGGAAAGTTAGAAGCGATGATTTGTGCTAAACCTGTCTTTGCAGTCAAGGTGTAAGCCAAATATGCCTTCAGAGGTCACTGCGACTCGGGATTCAAGTAGAAGGCGCGGCGCATCCCGAAACAAGGGCGTGGCGTCCAGCATCAAAAAGGTCGGAAAACGTTTCGAAATCAGGGGAGTTCGTTCAAGCTAGACGAACAAAGACAATTGGCACGATCAGAAAAACCTCCATAACTGTCATCCTGAAGTTGTCGAGTGACCGCTACTGTCGTAACCATTAAAGGCTTCGGAACCGGCTATGGACGCATATAAATTGAAACTTCGTGAGGGAGGAGAGGCGTTAAAACACCGTGATCTGATGAGTTCCAGTTATGACTGATTGGCGCGAAAACCAGCGGCCAATAGCAAACAACTATGCAGTCATAGCTTCCATTACTACACTGTAAATGCGATTCTGGGACCGCTCTCATGCCATAGAAACTCGGGGAAGTTGTTGATTAGTAGTTTCCGCTTCAACAGAGTACCACAGCTAATCAATGCTTTACAGTACGGCTGCAACTAAAACTAAGACAATTTTTCCCTCAAAAACGGCTACATTTTATCCAAAATATTGTTTTGACTCTTTTTTTTTTGTACGTTCCGGTTCACATGTGATGAATATTATAAATATTTCTGCCAAATCAGTTGTGATGGCGACACCCGGAATCGGAAATCGAAAAGCGCCAGAGAGACGGAATGGTAGCTTCTAAGATCAGGACCGTGTCTTGGTCTTTATCAAGCTACGGTGGTTACACGAACGAGGACGGTATAATGAATATCAGCGATAGCTGAGAATTGACCGGTGCCGATGTGGCGGCAGAGCCGTCAAAATTTAAACAATCAAGGGCGAAATTGACGTGAGTTCATATTCTACACCCTTTTGAATTGATATCGATTGTTCCGTATCGATCGTTGCCGTTACTGATTGGGTAATGGCAACAATCGGTACCAAATGAAGTTGGTGTTTGATTTTCCTTTTCCGTCTCCTTTATTTTTCCCTCGTTTCTTTGATATTCGCTTACATACAGTCCTTCAGTCAGGGCCAAGACCCGAGCACCAAGTTGAGGCGAGCCTGGTAGGAGTTGACCGCTCTCAAATAATTGATGCTTAAAGGCACTGTTCACGAAAAAAATGGCTTCGGAGATCTGCACATGGTTTGAATTCGACGCCCCCTCTGACACC